ATTCAAATTTTAATAGTTGGAATCATGAGACAATTGAGGCTAGACCAATATGGAAAACCTGGAAGCACTGAACGGCTGTTTCGTCCTAGCATGGGACTCCGCGCTCGCGCACGATACTGATAGGTCCTGTCTTCGAAACTCGCAGGAGGCGGGATCGTGGATGCTCACTGCTGAGGGGTCCCATACTAGTACGAAACGGCCGTCTAGTGCTTCCAGATTTTCCATGATGGTCTAGCCTCAATCGACTCATGATTTCGACTACTGAAATCAAAATTATTGAATACAAATAAGTACATGATTCACTGGTTAACTGTATACTAAATAGGTCAGTCAATCAATGTTAACAACCTTTAAAACAGATATTTACTTTAGTTATAATAATTACAGTTCTACTTTACGGAGCTGAAACATGGAGAACTACTACATCCATCACCAAACAAGTATAAGTATTTTCAAACAATTGTCTACGTAAGATACTCAATGACTGTTGACGGGATACCATTAGCAATATCCTACTGTGGAAGACAGCAAACCGGTTCGTAATTGAGGAGGAATTGTGTAGGACATACATTGAGGAAATCATCAAACTACATCATGAGGAATGCACTAACATGGAATGCTGAATGGAAACAAAGAAGAGGAAGATCAAAGAACACACTGCACAGAGAATTGGAAATAGTAATCAAAAGAATGAGTAACAACAGTGAACAACTAGAAAGAATTGCTTAGAGCAGTATTGGATGGAGAATGTTGATGAGCAACCTATGCTCTTCCATGAGGATAACAGGTGTAATAAAGTACGTAAAGTATGATAATTACACACTTAAGTAAATACCTACTTTAAACATTGTTATTGTTGATTGGATGATCTATTTAGTACATAGTTAACCAGTGAATCATGTACTTATTTCTATTCAATAATTTTGATGTTTGATTATATTTCGTTGAAAAAGCTGAAGCGAATTGTGAGGCGAAACGTTGTGGAAATCCCCAGTCTAGATGATCTATGTCGAATGATTGGAGGCCTATTAAATTAAGAAAGAAAAGGTGTGATGAACCAGCTAATGTCGAAGTCACACTTGCGGTCAGAACCTTACGTGGATTGTCCCATCGACTTATCGAGGTACTATCGATGCTTTGAAGACTGTACAACACAATAGACTTTATTACAGAAATATATTAGTTAAAGAAGATATAGGCGAATGTAAGACTACCGCCTCATGGGACACTCCATGTCGTACGATTAAATGACGTGCGTTAGTCGTCCTTGACCTTGACAGGGATCGATGATTGGTTCGATATTCAGTGACCCAACTACTGAATGATTAGGCTAGGGATTAGTGACATTTCATTGTCCCTACAGTTGGATTTACTTCAAGCACATTCACTGAGATTTTTCAAATAAATTCTTCCTTCTTCTTGCATTATATTAACTCAGTACCCAAATATTGTTAAACTACTTCAATCAAATTTAGACGAAATTTCTTATATGATTTGAGATATTTGAAGGAACTCGAACAAATTTCCCCTGTGAAACTTTAGAATTATTATTTATTTATTTGAACACATAAATATCAGTAAAAAGAGGCGCTGAATACATATGCGCCACACAATTCACTTGATTTGTGTATGGGCTATGATATTGACTGGGTGACCAGAATGAAGTTAGCGGTTTTCTTAGAGGGCCATACCCGGAGCCTTCGACTTATTTGTCTTATCCACAAGTCAATGGAGCACCGTAGAGTGATGCAGTTCCATGGTAGCCAGTCACCAACGATTGGTCCATACACCATTTATTCCTTCATGAGCCTGGAATCCATGTACACCAGTGGTTTGACATAAAGGGTTTCCAACTCTCCTGAATGGAACCTCTGCGTCCACCAATTCGGTTTAAGCTCCTGCTGGATATTCACTTTTCGTCCTCTCAATCTCGTAAACAACACCCGTAGTGCGAGAAAGTATTGAGTAATATTTTCCTAACAGTGGTTCTATGCACACGGTCATGTGAGAGCATTTGGAGAGAGGGAGGAGCCAACTCTCTTCACCCTCTGCCGTATCAAGGAATTTAAAGGCTTAAAGTTATTTAAATTTCCATTATACATTTTATTTCAATCTAATTTTTTTGTCTCATTTTTCTTACTATGTGGTCTGAAAAAGTATAACGCCTATACATTCCATCATACTTCTTTGCATATACATATATATCTATGTATATGTATGTACATTTGTTTTCTATTTGGAGATTAGAGGTATAAACACTGGGCAACAAGAATCGGTCATCTTTAGCCTAGTTTTATCTTCTTTAAATGGAAACCGTAAAGCGAAATGCATTTTTCTTTATGTACAAGATTTCTAATGTGATTATGAAAGATTATTCTATCATTCAAGTGTATTGGTATTGGTGGATGTTGTTGCATCTCGACAAGCATAATGAATAATAACTGTTGAGATCTATTCATGATTTAATATTATTGCATAATTGTTAAGTAAATAAACTATTCATATTCATATTCCTCTTATTCTAAGCTTTATTTTGATCTATGAACTATTACTATACGACTTACCATTTATGAGTTATGCCCTGTCTATCAATCACTACCCCCCATAATCACAGCCACTAAATCTTGTACAAATGTTGTTCCCTATTTTATAGTACGATTTGGTTTGTTTGGTTGATATATAAACCCACTATGTTTGAAATACACAATTCATATCACAGAGGCTGAGATTGATGTTCTGGATTCAACAAGATGGGTAGAATTGTCGATAATTATGACGCTAAACTACTCGTACAGGTTTATGTGTCATTGATCCGGTCGATATATCATTGTTATCTAATTGGCGGTATATTGATAGGGGTATAAGGTCATAACTTATAACAGAAGTGTAATCAAAAATTGTTTCATTTTAGTACATGAGCATACTCTCGTATAATGTGTTATCTAAAGTCTTGAATTCTGTTGAGTTTTCCTTGTGCACTGACCTAACAGGTGATTGATTTAGGCTTGAATGGTTCGGTGATAATATTTCAGTTTCTAATATTAATTAAGGTGCGTTTCAGACCTACAAATAATAGTTGTTTCGATGAAAATGTAATCACTTTCTTCTGAGGACTTTCATGTAACTCACAAATGCCCTGGTACAGAGAGTTTGAGGAGAGTCGGCTCTCCCTCTCGAAATGCTCTAACATGACCATGTACATACAATCACTGCCAGAAAATTTATACTCACTCCCTTCTCGCATTACAGATGTCGTTTACGAAACTGAGAGGACGAAAAGCGTACATTTGGCAGTAGCTTTAACCGGGTTGGTGGGCACGGAGAATACACTGACGGAAGTAAGGGAAACCTTTATTCCAAACCAATGGTGCACATGGAATCCAGGATCCCGAGGGAACAAATGGTGTTTTTTACTGTCTACCATTCAAATGCATCTCCTTATGTTGCTCCACTGACTTGTGGATCAGACCATTAGGTCGAAGACTCCGGATATGGCCCACTACGAAATCCACCTACTTCGATCTAGGCACCCGCACAGTCCCATAGTCCACATACAAATTAAGTGACTTGCATGGCTCATTTGCCTTTTGCCAACTCACTTCATTTATAGCGTAGGTGAGATATCCTTCTACCAACCAAAGAACGGGTTTACTGCTCAGCAGTTCGCTTCGTCCTACTTTTTGACTATGAAACATGGCCGGTAAGAGTAGGGGATTTTCGTAGCTTACTAGTAATTGGCCAGAGATGCCTTAGAAATATTTCTGTCATCTGCTGAGGTCACCGGTTAAATAATAGTGAGGTTGAACACAGGGTATTAGGGAATGATGATGCTAAATCAGTTAATGAAATTTTAAGTCTTCATTGACTGAGATGGTTGGGCAATGTATTACACATGCCCAACCACTGATTATCACGACGCTCAATGATGACTAGTGTAGGAGATGGCTGGAAGAAAGTGAGGGGCGGTCAAACCGAAACGTGGCATCAGTACTTGAAGTCACTAACCTCTAGTCTGAACCATTTTGGTAGATGCAGACCACTTGGTTGGTTTCCACATGACTATCGTAACCAATGGGTGCAGACTGTTGGTGACATGGCTCAGAATCCATCACAGTAGAGCAGGTGTATACACTCTTTATCTTCTTTTAAATTGCTTCATACCTTTCTTTCTACAAAATAATTCTTTCTTCTTGTATTATATTCTTATACACAATCTTTCTTTTATATATTACCACCAGTGAATTAACTACTTCTATGAATCCGGTGTTCATCTTGTTGTGCTAATGAGGTGTGGCAACTTGGATCGATGCATATATGTGCCTGCTCCTACGTTGTAGTTGACTGACTCACTGATTAGTGGTCTAAAGGGTGAAACCGAAGTTTCTTGGTTTGATTTCTTATATCCAAATCATCAGTACGCATTATGGAAGTATCATCTACTGTGACAAAACAGATATTCATTTCTTCTATGTTTTCAACAGTTATCAAGCTTGGATCCGTTCAACAACAAAAAAGAACATACAATTCAATGATTGAATAGAAATCTTTATATACAGAAATAATATTGATCTTATAATGAATTAAATGAATTATTGAATTATTATACACTTCACTGATTAAAATCATGAGTCAATTGAGCCTAGACCACTATGGAACACCTGAAAGCACTGGATGGCCGTTTCGTCCTAGTATGGGACTCGTCAGCAGTGTGCATCCGCGATCTCGTACCCGGCGAGATTCGAACCCAGAACTACTGAGCCAACACCCAATGGTGTTAATGTCTAACTTGAACCAATCCATGAAGTTGCGCCACCGTACACTGCTGAGGAGTCCCATACTAGGACGAACCAGCCGTTCAGTGCTTCCAGGTTTTCCATGGTTGTCTTGCTTTAGTTGTTTCATGATTTCAATCAGTGAAATTCCTAAAAACTTTCCACAACACTCCTTCTGATATTATTATACACTTGTTTAATTTTATTCACTAATTTGTTAATAATTCATTATTGATTATCATTTGATATAGGTTGTTCTATTGTTTTTTGTTCATTTATAAATAATAATGGATTAGGTGTCATTTGTATTGAATCTAATAATGAATGTATTGGTTTAGTTAATGTACTTGCTTGTGCTGCTACTGCAGCTGCTGCAGCTGCCATTACAGCTGCTGTTGCTGTACTATGCTGTTGTGTACATACCATTTCATTCATTATATGAGGTATTGTATCATTATGATTATGATTATTGATTATTTGTATTGATTGTTTATTGGAACATTCATTGATTGATTTATTGATAGATAATGCATTAAAATTTGTTGTTGTTGTTGTTATCATTTGATTCATACGTGGTACATTAGTAAAATGACGATTACGTTTTATTGTATCCATATTTGGTTGTTTATATTGTTCAGCTAATAAACGTTGATGATGTTGACATAATTGTGGATAGGCATCATACATATTTTTATAAATTAATGTATTATGATCCATCATTTCTGTAACTGGGGTTAATAATGATGAATCTTTTTGATGTATATTATTACTACTACTAGTAATACTATTATTATTATTTGGATATATATTAGGCATAGTTACTTCAATTGTATCCGTTGTTATGGGTAATATATAATTATTCATATTGATTTTATCATTATTGATGATTGATGATGTAATCAGTGAATTATTATTATTACTATTATTATTATTGATTGTTGATACAAAATATCCTGAATCAGTTAAATATGGCATAACAACAGATTGAATATTATTATTACTATTATAAGTAGTATTAGTAGTAGTATAAGTAGTAGTACTAGTAATAGTATTTGAATGATGCATTGGTAAACAATTAAATAAATGTATAGGTGATGTTAATGGTTTCATTACATTATTATCATTATTAATACATTCCAATGAATGATAATCAATTAATTGATTTTTATTAATTTTTTTATTTTTTATTGACTTCATATGAATTATATTAAATTTGTTACTAAGCATTAAAATATATTTGTTACTAAGGCATTTTTGTATGATATAAATCAATAAAATTGGATCAATACAAAAATGTAATATAATAATACGTGTAATAAATAATAATTGTTTATCATTAATTGAATATAATGTCATAATAAAATGATATACAATTGGTATACATAAACTAATCAATTCGATCAATAAAATCAATATAATCAATATTATTGATTGATTAGGTAATTTTAATTTATATATGATACAATTTCTATGATTAATATAAGATATAATCATATATAATAAGATAATAAATAATATAATCATTATCATTTGTAATAATAATGGGATAATAATTAAAAGAATTGATGACATCCATGTAGATGTAGTAGTTGTGATGACATCATGATTCATTGGAGTTGATGTTGTCAACGGTGATGACGATGATGATGATGATGATGATATCGACGATGATGACAATGTCGATAATGATGTTCTTTTCATAGAACATGTCAATAATGAATGTAATCCATTAAATAATAGATTTACATGATTTAATTTGATTGATTCTATCCATGTGTAATGACTATGATTAGATATTGATTTATTGATGATCAATGAATTTGAATGTATAGGTGTTTGATATAAAAAAGCAATGAATAATGATGTACCAGCAGCTAATGCCCATGGAATTGAATGAATTAATGCAATATATGCAAAATTTTGTTGAAAATAAATATGATTACTATCATGATTATAAGTAGTATGCTTATTAGTAGTATTATGTATGATAGTAAATAGAAATCGTTTATAGAAAGAATATTTAGGTAATTGAAAACTAGTAAAATCAATAATAGTGATTACCATTTTCATGATGATTTGTATATAGAATATAATAAATGAACATAATATAAATATAGTTACTAGGTATAATCGAACACATAATAATGTATCTGTGGCTAATGAATTCGATAATAAACATATAAATTCATGATTATATGTTATATAATAGGTAGTATCTAAGGTAGTTTTTTGTATTAATGCAATACATATAACTAATAATTGTAATAATGATAATATAATACCAAGAATACCTAAATGTATTGCTATAGTATAACATATATAAATATATTGATGATAAATAAATATGGAATTTTTCAATATGATACATTTTGGATTAGTTACCAAGTGTTCATTGTCTTCTTCTCGTTGTTGTTCTTCCTGTTCTTGTTCTTCATCCTCTTCTTCGTCATGATCATCTTCTTGTTCTATTCCTTGTTGTTGTAATTCTTCGTCTTCTTCAGTAGTTGGATCATTAACACAATCATTTAGTCTAGGGGATTGATTTAATAAAGTATTATATGAATGAATTATAGATATTGGTTGTTGTGATATATGATGTCTTTGATTTGTATTCGTTTGAAGATGTACACATTTATGTTGTTGTTGTCGTTGTTTTGAATATTTTGATGGTGTATATAAAATATTTGAATTAGATGAATAGTTGTTGCTATGGTGGTGGTGGTGTTGTTTACTACTGTTGTTGTTTTTGTTGTCATAAGCATCTTCATTGCTACAATCACTAATCATATCATGATTAGGAATTATTTTCCAATCATTATTATTATTGAATGGATCAATATCGGATTGTTGATTTGTAGAGCATAGTAACCAATGATGATTAAATGGTAATGATTTATTACATGAATATAAATGATCATGTTCATTATATTGATTCGATTGTTTTATGATAGATGATTTGATTTTTTTACTTTTTTTATGATTACGTAATAGAGATGAATGTAAATCACAATTAGAATTTATATTACAACATGGATATGATAAGTTTTTAATATTAGAATTCATTATATTACTAATATTATTATCTTTATGAGTAGTGGTATTCCTAGTGTGTTTGTTATCTTTCATTTGTTTATATACACATGGACAATTAGTAACTGGGCTTAAATCAGTAATACACTGACATGGGATTGATTGATTTTTAAAAAGATGATTACATAATATATCTTTATATTCATAATTAGTAGTATTATTAGTAGTACTGGTAGTAGTCAGTTGTTTATTTTCATGATTACTATGATTACATGAACTATTGAAATGCTTATGATGATGATGGTGATGATGTAACCATTTCTGATAATGACGAACATGTGGATGATGACGAGGATGATGGTGATGTAATCGATAGGATAAGAAAACTATTAAAATAATATTACAAACTAATGAAATAGAACTAATAATTAATGTAAATAAGATCACATTCCAATCTATGGTATGTAATGTATCACTAGGATGATGATCATGATGATGTTGATTTGAATGAATGAAGTTCATAGATGAACTATTATTCAATGGTTTCATTGATAGATTGGATTTCATATAAGGTAATGATAATAACAATGATGATGATGATGATGTGGAGGAGGAGGAGGATGAGGAGGATTGCATAATACTATTATGATCATGTTCATCATAATCATGATCAGAATTATTGATTAATTTATGAGTATCTTGTAATTCAATATGAATAGTTTCATGGGATTTATTGATTATATTGATTGGATAATTGAAATGAATTATTGATTTATTCTTATTATTAATGATTGGTAATTGATTAAATTGTAATGGTTTACGACCTTCTGGTGGACCAGATGGGATACGATAACGTGTACCATTAGATGTAACAAGAAAACCATATTCATCAATATAAAATTTTCCAGTAGCAAGTAATGATGGTAAATCAAATTGTTTATTATGATTATAATAAGATATATTTGAATTGAATTTTAAGCGGGTTTTATCATAAGTCATTATTGTTACTATGGTATATGTATAAGTTTAGATAAAGATTAAGTTACCTTAATGGATGAATAAAAAAAGAAGGAAGTATGAATTATGCTTTAAATGTAATTTATAAAATATTATGTAAATTATGAAAAGATGGATAGTGGTGAAATAACAATGGAATCCAGTTTGACGAGTGTTTCGTCCTACCTAAGACTCATCAGCCGAATGTACCTACATCCCAGATTTGTTACTGTTCAATCTGGAGCTTGAACCCAGTCGTCGCGTTATGCATTTGGCTACTGAGTTCCAATAGTCACCTGTTTGTGCAGTGGGCTGAAGTTTAAATTCACTTGGTGTTGTAATTGATCAGTCTCTTGTTGGCACATATATACATCTTATGAGGATTGTCTTGAAATAGGCTTAAGTGACAAGTTTTTTCAAGCAAAGCTAATAATAATGTACGTCTAGATCTCATACACTTAACAGTTTTTTCAACACTACAATCTACTATTTATTTACCGAATAATTATGACATGTGTAAAACGTAAAGTGTAAACATTTAGTTACGCAAATAAATTGACTTCCCAATGTCATATGTTCAATTAAGTGTATGATTGATAATGACAGTGTATAATGTCTAGATCTCATGCTCTAGTTATTTGATCTTTATGACTGGACCTTTCGCTCTACCGTCATATATATATGAAGACAGAGAGAGGGAGAGTGTTTGTGTGTTGCTATGTCGTTACTGAGGTGTGCCGTATTTTCAACACTAATTTCCCTTAAAGTGTTGTATCCATTTTACCATTTTGGTTGATTTAACTTGTCTAGTAATAATATAAAAAATTTAAGTAAATAATTCCACAAAACTAGGTGGGTATCAATGGGAATATATGGATATGAAGTTTTGTTGAGAAGTCGTGACCAAATAAGTCCGACACGTGTCAGGTGGTGACAGGTATCTACCTCAAAAAATGCATGAAGTGTTGAACAAGATCATGGATCAATTGAACTTAGACACTGACACCATTGGGTACCTACCTACTCAGTGGTCTAAACATTAGGCGTTAGTACGTGAAAACAAAGGTCCTGGGTTCGAGTCCCTTCGATGCATGATCGTAAATGCGCACTGTTGAGCAGTCTCATACTAGTACGAAATGGCTTTCAAATGGTTCTGGATTTTCATTGGTTGTTTAGTCTAGATCGACTTATAAATTCAACTATTTCTAGGGTTGAAGCTATCATGAGTTCACTTAATCTGTGAACGAGAAACAACATTCGGTGATCAAAGACCAGTAAACTAGCTATTTGATGCGTCACAGCACCGCTAACTAGAAGGAGAAATCCAAGCTTGGAATGGGAAGTATATTCTGCAAAACAACCAGAAACGAACGATAATAACAAACACAATTCAAAACGTATATATACAGTACAAAACCGACCTTGGTGAGAGTTACTAAATAGTATACTAAAAGACGTAACGGACCAATAGCATTTAAGATATTTCCCAAGTGGGAAATACGACATAAAGGTGAGAAGAAATTCAAATTTTCTACATAAAATTGCAAAATTAGGTCCTCTCCCAAGTGAGTTCTGGGGATCTAACGTTCCCAACAACTATTAAAATTACTACAATCTCAACAGATCGTCATTCTGTTATGAATACATCTTGATCTAACCTTATGAAGAAATTCTATTTGCAATCATTATGTATTGCTGTACAAACATATAATTTAAGTAGTGAAATAATTAAGTTGACATTCAGTCGGAAATCATTTACAATGGAGTTTAATCACTTCGGTAATGCTAAAAAAATAGTGAATGATTATCATAGCATTACCATGAATTGATTCAACCTGACTAGATGAATCATACAATTGTGAATGAAGGATTTAATTGTATCATACTCGATTCAAGATCAAGTTGTTTCTAATCGGATCAAAATGTAAGAATTGAACCATACAGCTGTTCAATATTACATAATATTCAGTCATTCTTTTAATAATGAATTTAACTTTTATAAAGTTGATTGCAAAAAATATACAGCGTTGGATCCCAGCTCAGTGGTCTAGAGATTAAAAGTTCACGTGCGAAACTTAAGGCTCTGGATTCGAATCCCGCGAGCGGAATCGTGAATACGCACTGCTGAGGAATCCCAAAATAGGACGAAAAGGCCGTCTAGTGTTTCCAGATTTTCTCTGGTGTTCGAACATCATTTGGTTCATGGTCTCAATCAAAAACATAATAATCTCCACAACCTCATACTGATAATGCACAAAAGGGATTGATTATTAAAAAAAGACGTTGATATTTAATGGAATGCAGACAGAATACAAGAAAATGTGTCATACAATTCATACTTAACTTAATTCCAACATTTTGAGCTCGAAAACACACGTCTTTTAATATGAGTTACACGTGATGTTCGTTATAGATCGACCTCACTTAGGATACCATCGAAACTAGGAAATTGTTAACACAACCGTTCAATTTCAGTACGAGACTGTTTAGTTTATTATCCCCTAGTTTTCGATTCTACCCTAACTAAGATCATACTGAAATAAATTTCTCATACAAATAAGACTATTCGTTCACTATACCCGTATATCAAAATTATTACTATCAGTATAGAGAGTTCATGCAGGTTGTTGGCTATCAGTGGGATCCAGGGCGCGCGTTTCGTCCTATTTGGGACTCCTCAGCTGGATGAACCTGAACATATGCCAACATGATTGCGGTTCTAAATAACAGTTGGAAGATACAAGTAAAACAACACCAAGTGAATTTTATCATTAATATTGCTAAGAAAGATCAATAGACTATTTTGGTTCATCGATTTTAAAAAATACTAGCGCAATTTTCCAACCGAAGTGAATAATAAGCAACATATGGAATCATACGTATCGTCACAAGTTCGACAATGGATTAATATGGTAACTAAGTATTATTTTTAACAAACTTGTTCTGAGGAACTAATATTGATTAGAGGAATGATGAAAGTTAAACAAAATTCAGGTTAAACGGAGTCACAAGTCGATTGAATCTAGAAATATCATTGAAAACATGGAAACATTGGAAAACCATTTCGTCCTAGTATAAGATTCTAGTACTTCTAGGTGTTCATTGGTGATCTAACTTAGATCAACTCATAAATTCAAGTGTTAAAATACTACAATCACCGAATTCCATCACGAAGAAACCTTTAACTTGGAATCCTGAATGGAGACGGAAAAGAGGAAGGTCAAAGAACACACACTATGTCAGGAATTGGAAGCAGATATGAAAAGGATGAATAGAAACTGGGAAGAACTGAAAAGGATTGTCCAGTAGAGAGTTGGATGCAAAATGCTGATGGGCGACCAATGCGAGAGGTAAAAGGCGTAAGTAAGTAAATAAGTAAGTATCATCAATAAATTATTAAGACACATGAACTATGAAGTAAAAGATGAAATTCAATTTTTTTCTAAGAAAAAAGAATGGAATCACTTGATATTGTGTAATTGAATCTTCCCTTTGATATTGAGGAATGCAATTGATCAGTCCGCATTGACATATGTGCATGCTCTGCATATTGCCTGGATATTATCTTAATTCACAAGTATCCTTAGGAATGATGGATAGTGCAGCAGTGATTTGGAAGACTCTCCCGGTCTCCCACATTGTACGAACATTCCGTGTACCTAAATTAATGGTTGCTCCGGTTATCAGAATGCGCATTATCCTCGTAACCTCCGAAGGAACTCGGCTTTCACCATGAGGCGTCATAACTCTTATAAATGAAGACCTTTTAACTTCCAGGTTAGGTTTTAAATGGTTTGAATAAGTTTTGCTGGGTAGCGTTTGTTTTAGCGATTTAGTTTTCTACAGGATGGGGTCGCTAATCCCATGCCCAACCCCTCTCCTTTATCCGAGCTTGGGACCGGCAGTAGCCCCAGAGGGGTTCCAGGCGGAGTAAATAGTGGCTAGCAATAAAATACAGGACTAGTGTTTCGTTCTATTTTTTACTTGTCAGCTAAATGTATGTTCATGACGTTTGAGGCGAACGTTACTGGGTTTGACTCCTTCGAATTTGACATCAACTCTGAGTTACAGGTACTCATTGTACATGATCAAAATATCGTACACAGAGGAAATTGTCTATTAAACTACATAATCTTTTCTTTTTCCGTATAAAAACACACAGTGGACAACTTTTATCAGAAGAATGATAAAAAGTCATTCAACTGACGAGTCTAAAAGAGGACGAAACCTGAATCCTTGATTCCACTAATAGTCACTATCCATCTCTGCTTTTAAAAAATGTAAATTTATATTCACTAATCTAAACAAGTTTATTCAATAGACAATTCTGTTTCTGTTTCATAAACTTTATCTATATGTAAACCAGTAAGTAAGCAAAAAAAAAGAAAAATGAAGAGGAAGAAAAAAAAGAAGAGAAAATGATCTTGAATGCATTCAACTAGATTTTCTTTTCTTTTTTCTTTTCTTAAATGACAAAAATGTAACAACTGTGTATAATAATCATAATCCATTTGTATTAAATAAACATTAGTGTGATTGTTGTTGTTGTTGTTGTTGCTGTGGTTATTTTTAGTCTTCAATTCTATTCAATATCATAATGAATTATAATTTTGTATAGTATTCATTCCATTGAGATGGTTTGAAATGATTTCACTATGGTGATAATAATAATAATAATAATACTAGAATGTTTATTATTGTAATTTTGTGGTTAAGAACGGGTAAAGGAGAGGTGGTGGGAGTGATGGGGGGTGATAGGGATGACAGGGGGAGGGTGGGTGATTGAATAAAAACATGTGATTTAGTATATGTGAATAGACATTTACATTATTACACCTTTTAGTGATTTATCTATATCTCTTCATTATTCATTTAATCTTATAAGAATAATGAAACTTTTACTGATTTTTACATAATTGAAACAGTTGTAGTTAGTTAGTTCGTTGGGATTTTTTCTTTACTTTTGTCTTTCATTTAGTAAGTTAGTTTAACGAAGTCATAGAAGTGGATTTTATCCAATTGTTAGGAATGTTAAAATGACGGTTAATAA